AAAGATCCAGCTGATGGTGTTGCCCGAGGCGTTTAGGAAGAGAAAAGCACCAAGGAAGTGCCAAAGCCACACTCTAGTGAACCTGTCGATCTGAGCCTCCTCAGCCTATGGGTCCAAGTAATCAAAACGCTTTATGATCCAGGACGACGAAACTCTGGAACTTTTCCTAAAATTCAACAAAGAAAATGAGACCCGATGGCTATAGAAAATCAATGCAAGTATTAAATATGATTAAATTGCTCACTTATTTTTCTTTGAAACCTTGTCGTCCGGTGGAAGAAAGCCAGTGAACTGATCCACCAGCTCCCTCCAGTGATCGTTGTCAACTATACCCATCACTGGAAGTCCTCCCAACCAAAGGCCAAAGATTGCCTTCATATCCTATATGGTCAAGGTCATCTCGCCGCAAGGTAGGTGGAATGTGTGGGTCTCAGACCTCCACCTATTATAAGAATAGAACGACTGTTAGTTGACTCAAATTTGTTATAAGAATGTTTACGTACAAAGAAGACACTCACACCTGTCTACAGCTGTAGTAAGTAGTGCTGGGTCAAGGGACGAAAGATCGTAGTTGACAACACGGACAAGCTCGAGGAAGCCGGCACGCCGTATATACGGCGCGTAACGCTCGTCCCACTGGTGCGTCCTGATGTGCGTGCGGGGCCTCAAAGCAGGCAAGGCCACCTCTGCGTCGGTGTCACTCAAGATGTGTGCTCGGTGCTGATCCTCGTACTCCACCTCAAGAATGTGATACAACGGGTGCTGCGTGGGAGGGGTCATCCTGTTACAAATTGATAAACATAGGGTTAGAGTATTCAAATTAACATTATGTAGCATTGCAAAATTTGAACTACTTGTTATGCAATATGAAGACAATATGAAAGCACATGTATATATTCAAAGTAACATTAACAAACATATTAAACAACTTCACTAGGAAAATAAGCATTTGACGAAACTTCATCAAGTCATCCAAATCGACGTATCTCGCACTACTAAGTACCGACAGTTGAAAACTAGTATCTATACCTAAAATCCCTAACTAAATAACTAACTATAAACTAAATAATAAATACCTAATCAATCCCTAAACCCAAAATCCTAACTAACAGTAACCTAAACACTAACTACCTAACCAAACCTTAACTATACTATAACACACAACCTCAAACCTAAAAACTATCTACCTAAACAAACAAATTCACTAACCTAACTATCCTAAATCACTAACTATCCTAAATCAATAACAATCATAAAACCCTAACTATCCTAAATCACTAACCTAACTATCCTAAATCACTAACTATCCTAAATCACTAACTATCCTAAATTAATAGCAATCATAAAACCCTAACTATCCTAAATCACTAACTATCCTAAATCAATAACAATCATAAAACCCTAACTATCCTAAATCACTGACTATCCTAAATCACTAACTTAACTATCCTAAATCACTAACGATCCTAAATTAATAACAATCATAATAACATGAAATCGAGAGGGAGGTACCTTGATATGAGCGGCGGACGTGACGCCGGCGTTAAATGTTATACCATGGGTTATTCTTGTGCGCTGGTGGCAATGGCGCGAGGGCGGCGCAACCGTCCCCGCGCGTCTTGGTGCTTGTTGCCGGCGGGCGTGACTAGTGTGGCGTCGGCGGCCAGGTGGGCTCATGCGATATTTATCTGTCTGCCGCCGCCATGCGCCAGTGGTAGCGTCAACGCCAAGCTAACATCGGTGGCGCGGCAAACCCTACCTCATCACCAGTCAGCATTTGTGGTCGTTGCCACGTCAGCCCCCCACCACGCCACCATGCATGGCGTGGCACAGGGTTTTCGCCGCACCATGGCAATAGGCGTGGCCAAAAGTGTTAGTTAAAAAAAATAGTGTTAGATTTAAAATTAGTTTACAAAAAGTGTTAAAAATAAAAAGAAATCACTGCTGCTACTAACTTTCATTTATTTTGCTGCTCCAAGACTATATGAACAGTTCTACCAGTTAGGTACTCTCAGTGCAGACCAATGCTACAAATGTACTATTAACTTTGAGTAACTTTAAAAGCATCTAGATTCACAAACAACCAAAATGGTCATAGAGTATGACAGCTATCCAAAATCTGGTCATGTTTAACTTATAGCTGATGCAAATCACAATAGAAGAAACTGTCACCTCACTACATAGGTCTGCAGCATCATTAGAAGGCCACAATTTGATCCATACAAGAGCGCATCACTGCATAGAAATGATAGGTAAAATAGAAAAAAAATAGGTGAAGCTTACATGTGTTAGAGTTTGAGCCAAGAGCAGTAGGAGGCATATAGAAGACATCAGATTCCTGCAAGGTATAAATGATACTGCTGGTCAAGGAGCTTTTTAATACTGCTGGCCGGTCAAGGAGCTTCCTGTCAATTATACATTAGATTCATGCAGTACTCTCTCTCTCTCTCAGGAACAATACATTCAGTTTTAGTTAATTTGCTTGTAATTGCACAATGACATTCAGTTTCAGAAATTGTCTTTACTTAACTGGAAGAGGCGATGAGGCTAATTTTAACAAAAATAACACATGCATAATTTTTCAATATAAATTAGACGATTAATATTAATTTGCAGTGCCCATCATATATCAATTATGGATCCCACACAATATCAGGATTGCAAGCATAGGCCAAGATGCCTGAATCAGTCATCTAGTAAAAAGAGAGCATAGGCTAGCCTAATTTCATTGAGCAAACTTTCCCATTCACAAATCATTTTCTCAATGGCCTAGTGACAAGTAGATAGCTTTTAATGAACTGAGAATAGACCAAAAAGAACTTACTTGTTCTAAAATGTTCAAGATATGCACATTATATGATCACGACACCATCTGTTGCAAGATATGCACATTTGAGATAAGTCAGTTCAAGAAAAGTGGGAAATAACATAATAAGGAGCTATCATAATCAACAGCCAAATACTATCATTGACTAATATTCTCATCACTGCAATTTCTAAGATGATTCAAACATTTCACATAGATGTACAAGATTAATATAACACAAGGGATGACTTGCTGGTTCCCAGTTCAAGACACAGGAGTGAACATCTAAGAAGACGGAGGACCTCTCGCACTAGCAGAAGACCATAATTTATTACCACTTGCACTCGCGGATGATGAACACCTAAGAATACGGAGTCATAGAGAAGTACCTGCAACTCTCGACGAGCAGCACTGAGATCTGGCGAGGGAACGCCGCACGGCCTGGGGTGGGGCAGCGAGCACGGCTCCACGTGGCCTCACGAGGGCCGCCACCGCGTGGCCGGGGCTGGGGCGGCGAGCTTGAGTCCGGGTTGCCAGGCGAGGTCTCCATGGCGTGGACAGCGAGATCCGCGGTGGCAAAAACCCTAGTCGGCCGGATCAGAGCAGGATACGATGCCATGGATCCCGCCGCCCTCAACCAAGTTGTCGTAGATCCCGCCCCCCTCGACCGAGCTGCCATAGATCTGGCCCCCCTCGACCGAGCCCATCCTGGCGACGCAAATGGAGGTGCCCATGCCGGGATCCAGAAGCAGCCACCACTGGGATCCGGCCGCCACCACTGGGATCCACCCGCCACCACCGCCGTCACCCACGCCAGGATCCCGCCGCCCTACGCCCTTCGCTGCCGCTTGTGGTTGTGTATTTGAGAAGAGGAAGGAAATGAGAGGAGAGAGGAAGACAGAGAGCGAGGAGAAAGGGAGAGGAGACAGGAGGGAGCGGCGTCGGTGGGCTCGCAGGCTAGCAGGCCACCGCCGACGACGAGAGAGATGGGGAAGACGAGAGGTACCCAGGAGACGAGAGAGTGATTGGGTGGCGACGGTGGGTCGGGTAGGGGCGACGCGGACCAGCGGGACGGACGTGGTCACACCGTCGTGGGGTAGTGGTCGTGCCCTCGGGAGATTCAGGGGTCGGGGAGGGGGAGGCGGAGGCGGGCGGGGGAGGGGTGGCCGCCGACACCGGAGAGACGACCGGCGGCTGCGGCGGTGATAGGGTCGTGGAGCTCATCGAGGCTAGGGTTGCAGGGGGAAGGAGGGAGGAGCAGAGGAGGGGGAGGCCGGCAGGGGAGGGACCGGTACCGGCGGTGAGGTGGAGCTCGTCTGGCTAGGGTTGGAGGCGGCGGGGTCGGGTGCCTGTGCGACTGAGAAATGGAGATGGGGACGGGATGGGAGCCATGCCGAGCGTATAAATATTCCTAGTCGGTGAATTGTTTTTATCTGATGACAAGAGGAGAGGCATTAAATGTGTCTACCTGCCCGACTTGTTTTTATGCGATGGTATCATGGAGGGAGGCATTAAATGTATCCACCTGCTTTCGACCCACCCTGCGTAGGTGAAGATGTCCAGTGCTTTCAAATTTACTGAGTGAATTTCTGGACAAGCATAGTGATGTAAATCCCTCTACCGTAGTAATTTTTTACATCTAAAGTACACCTATAGTTTATATTGTTCTTGTATACATGGTCATTCAATTTTTCATCTACTTCATGAAATATATTCACTTTCTTCATCTAGCCACTGTTGAATGCACGAAGAAAAACTGATTATGACGCGCTTCATCTAAGTCAAGAAATTTTCATCTAACGCAGCAGCTAAATAGAACACACGCCAACGTTCTGGAGGCCGCTAGAGGACGTGCCTTCCTACTCGTGAGTGCCGGAGACCGAGCCAAAAGTCCACGTGTCACCGTCTCGCTGGGCGTCCCCGCACGGTGCAGCCGTACCTAAACCCACTAGGCCAGCAGTCGGGCTCCGCACGTGGCCGCGCCGCCACAACCACAACGCTGCACGCGCGTCGCGATCCAACCGCCGGCTCACCTAAACTCCGTACGACTGGCAGTGGCAGGCTGGCAGCTGCGCACGCGTGGTCGCGCGGAGTTCAAAACGGCCCGCGCGGTGCCGCAACTGAAGCCGCGTATCCAGCGGCATCTCATTGCGCGCGCAGCCGACGCCACGCCAGCCTCGCCGAAGCAAAGACGATGGCGCCCGCCGCGTCCTCCCCGCCGCCGCACGTGGCCGTGGTCGCCTTCCCCTTCAGCTCCCACGCGGCGGTGCTGCTCTCCTTCGCGCGCGCCCTGGCCACCGCCGCCGCGCCGTTCGGGGCCACGCTTTCGTTCCTCTCCACCGCGTCCTCCCTCGCGCAGCTGCGCAAAGCCAGCGGCGGCGGCGGCGGCTCCGCCGGGAACGGGCTCCCGGGGAACCTGCGCTTCGTCGAGGTCCCCGACGGCGCGCCTTCGGCGGCCGAGGGAACCGTGCCGGTGCCGCGGCAAATGCAGCTGTTCATGGCGGCCGCGGAGGCCGGCGGGGTGAAGGCCGGGCTGGAGGCGGCCCGCGCCGTGGCGGGCGGCGCCAGGGTGAGCTGCGTGGTGGGCGACGCGTTCGTGTGGCCGGCGGCGGACGCGGCCGCCGCGGCCGGGGCGTCGTGGGTGCCCGTGTGGACGGCCGCGTCGTGCGCGCTCCTGGCGCACCTCCGCACCGACGCGCTCCGGGAGGACTTCGGCGACCAGGGTGCGTTGGATTCTCCTATTCTCTAGATAGTTCGTTGTGATATTGAAAAAAAAAGTCTTATCTTCGCTAGAAAAAGAATGAAAAGGTCTGATCTTGAATCTTGATGCATCATTCACAGCCGCGAACAGGGCGGACGAGCTGCTGACCTCCCACCCGGGCCTCGCCAGCTACCGCGTCCGTGACCTCCCCGACGGCGTCGTCTCCGGCGACTTCAACTACGACATCAGCCTCCTCCTCCACCGCATGGGGCAGCGCCTCCCGCGCTCCGCCGCCGCCGTCGCGCTAAACACCTTCCCGGGCCTGGACCCGCCCGAAGTCACCGCGGCGCTCGCGGAGATCCTGCCGAACTGCCTCCCGTTCGGCCCCTACCACCTGCTCCTCCCCAAGGACGACGCTGACACCACCGCCGCGCCAGCCGACCCGCACGGCTGCCTCGCCTGGCTGGACCGCCACCCCGCGCGCGGCGTCGCGTACGTGAGCTTCGGCACGGTGGCGTCCCCGCGGCCCGACGAGCTCCGCGAGCTGGCGGCCGGGCTGGAGGCCTCGGGCGCGCCATTCCTGTGGTCGCTGCGCGAGGACTCGTGGCCGCTGCTCCCGCCGGGCTTCCTGGACCGCGCCACCAGCACCGGGTCCGGGCTCGTGGTGCCCTGGGCGCCGCAGGTGCCCGTGCTACGCCACCCTTCCGTGGGCGCGTTCGTGACGCACGCCGGGTGGGCGTCGGTGCTGGAGGGCGTGTCCAGCGGCGTGCCCATGGCGTGCCGCCCCTTCTTCGGCGACCAGTGGATGAACGCGCGGTCCGTGGCGCACGTGTGGGGGTTCGGCGCCGCGTTCGAGGCGGGCATGACGCGCGCCGGGGTGGCCGCGGCCGTGGAGGAGCTGCTGCGCGGGGAGGAAGGCGCGCGGATGAGGGCCAGGGCGCAGGAGCTGCAGGCCGCGGTGGCCGAGGCGTTCGGGCCCGGCGGCGCGTGCAGGAAGAACTTCGACAGGTTCGTCCAGATAGTTTGTCGCGCGTGAAAGTCGTCTTTGCTGTTAGATACCCCTACCCGTTCGTTCAGAGGTTTTAGTGTTTTACAGTACTGTATTTACCAACAGAAGAATGGAGTACTTCCGTTTTGTCCTTGTGAAATGAACATTTGAATGTGATGACATTGGTTTTCCTGTTTGTTGGGGCTTCTGCCCAGTGGCCGTCACTCATCTCACCGTCGTTGTCGCGGCCGTCCCCATCAATCACCGGGCGAGCGATGGCAGAGGAGCTGATCTGATTTCTGTCAGTTGCTGTTGGATCGATTCGGTAAAGATCAGCATCGGTTATTTATCCTGTTGGCTTACGCTAAAATTTGGCTTATGCTGATGCTTATGTTGAAATATTGTGAGAGAAAATAATATTTCATGGCTGAAATATAGCTCAAGCGAATAGGGCGATTGATCCGCCAATTTTCAGTATCTGTCAGTCGAGGTCCGTTTCTGATTGCGTATGGTCATCGAGCGTTTATCTGGGCTAGTGGATCAGTTGATTGTGTATGGTCGCAACATGGATCCTCTCTAATCTTTTCCAAATGGGCTGCCCGGTACGGGCACGGCATCGGCACGGCACGGCGAGGCACGGCACTATGCGGCACGGCGGCCCGCTGTGCCGTGCCTGTTAGTGCCACCGTGCCTAAGTGGCAGCCCAGGCACGGCACTATGAAGGGGAAACCGTGCCGTGCCGTGCCGGCCCAGGCACTAACATATTTTTAACCCAAGTTCTTCATCACAAGTCGTCGTCTTCTCCAGGGAGCTCGCATAACCTCTCGGACTCCTCATGGTACGCAGACAAGGCAGCCTCGACTGTCTCTTCAGAGGGGGGCCGGGGAGGCATCGCCACTGGCCTCAAACGGCTGCACAAGTGCACATGAGCAAGAAGAAGTAGATCATTAGATCAAGATTCAAGAACAAGAAGAAGAAACGGTCAAGATCAAGAACTAAAGAAAGAACAAGAACGGTTAGGGTTAGGGTTTACTGCGGATTCTTACCTCAACAACGCCGGCGACGTAGACGGAGCTCGGAGCAGCTGCGAATCAGCGGATCTGAAGAAAGAAGAAGAAAAAGATCAGGAAGAGAAAGCATCTTCCATGCCGGAGCTGCCGGAGGGCGAGAAGAAGAAGAAGATGAGTGCTCTTACCTGCATCTTCGGAGCCCCGGAGCTGCCGTAGGGCGAGAAGAAGAGGTGGGGACGGCGGCGGGTCGCCGTCGCCTGTCGGAGTCGTCCCGCGCCGTTGGAATCGGAGAGGAGAGCCAGAGAGAGCGAGAGGAGAGCGCGGCGGGGGAGGGCGAGAATGATTTAGGGTTTGGGGTGCGAGGGGGAGCCGGCCGACGACGCTGCTTATATACACCCCCACCCCAACGGCGGAATCCAACGGCTAGAATCGCAGGGGTTGGGGGATCCAACGGCCATGATGGCTCGAAGCCGTGCCGATGCCGGGCCAGGCCTTTTTTCGTGCCGTGCCTCGTGCTGACCCATGGGCCGAATGTGCGGCCCAGGCACGGGCACGGCTGCGGGCCGTGCGGGCACGATGCCTAGCGGGCCGGGCGGGGCTAGTGCCGTGCTTTTTAGGGCCGTGCCCGTGTCGGCCCATCGGGCCTGGCCCATTTGAAAAACTATAATCCTCTCTACTACACCATGCACTTTGTGGACGGGTTGCGGGATGATATTAAAGTTTCTGTGCACTTGCATGGTCCTACATTGCTCGATTTTGCTTGTGCTCTTGCATTGTTATTGGAGGAATTAGCGGGATGCTGGTCGGAAGAAGCACTTCCGCAAGCCGGGTGAAGAGCATAAAGCAACGTTCCAGACTTATACCGGGCATTACGAGTTTCGGGTCATGGCTTTTGGTCTATTAGGTGCATCCGCCACTTTCCAGATGATACACAATCGAGTTGTTTTCTTTTGTTAATTTATTTATGGCCATAACTGCTACTATCCCCCTATAGATGATAATAGTTTAATATCATCCATCATAATTTTTTGATATTAAATTGTAACCAAACATCTGATTGCCAAATTGTGGAATTCATGTCAAGAATATCCCTTTAGACAAGCCTGGAGTCAAACAGAACTACTCCTTAAAATGCTTGCCATGAGCAGTGCTTCTTCGGCCCCATGAGCAGTGCTTCTTCGGCCCCAAATTATATGTTGTTTTGGTGAAATAGCTTTTGCTATGCCTAAATGTACATTATGTCACAGTTAAAACTATGTATCTATTAAAATCAAAATCCTATCATTTGGAATGGAGAGAGCAATTCACTTTGGGAAGTAGGATCTATCAGCAAGCACAGTTATATTATACTGTTATCATGTTAAAGGTTCTCATCTTTAGCTAATTAGCTCTGCCTTTGTGGAACTACTTTTTTCGAAAGGACGGCAAAAGCTTTGCCGCGATTTCTATTAGACGATGAAAGAAAAAAAGGCAAATGCCCATCTAGTTTTTTGAGCGAAAACTGGGTCGAAAAACCATACAACTCAGAAGAGTGCTCCACTCGTCCTAGCAACTTTGGTACAACAACTGGGAAACTATCACAACTCACACCACTACTTCATTCAACTTGGTCAGAACGACCCAACTAAACAACTCAACTATCAACTAACAAGGACCGAAGAAGACGACGTCCTACCGAGCAACACCAAACAGCAAGGATCAATCGCGAAACTGGAATGCCTAGCCATGCCCCCATGGAGGAAACGACGCTAAAAGCGTCGACATGGTAGCTCGCCAAGGAAGGTTTTCACCTGCAACATCCAATATGGTAGGAGAAGAGGTAGGAAAGGACACCTTTAAGAGGGGAACGGCGTCTGCAGACGTCATCGTCCATGCTTTCGCCCCCACCTCAAACCACCTCCACATCGTCGCCGCCAGAGGCCCAACCCTACCAGGAGGCAGGGTGCAGTGCTTAGATGCCGCCCCTAGGGACGCCGACCAGGAGAAGCGTCGGGGGAACCCGCCGGAGAGTCCGCCCCCCACCGCAACCGGCAATGCCGGCCAGCAGCAGGCAGAACCGGCCAGCTCCACCATGAAAACCAGCCCGGGGAAGGGGAAAGGTAGATGGCAGGGAGAATAGGGCCGGGATCAGAAGAAGCCCCAGTCGCCCAACCCACCAACGTCCCCACCCCCTGCCGAGCCAGCCCCGCAACAACCATGCCACGCAACACCTCCAGCAGCCTCAGCGCCGAACTGTCGCCGTCACGCCCGCTCCCCAGCCCTCCGTGGATCTCGGTCAAACCATGTCACTGGCACCGGGCGAGGAAGACGCAGGATGCCGCAATGGGAGCGCCAAGCACCAAGCGCCTACAGCCCCAGCCACTGGCGCCATTCCCGACGCCCAGGCTGGAGCGCCACCGCGGACGCATGGGCTCCCCGCTGGATTCGGCAAAGAATCACCGGATCCAGCCAGCAGGCCACCGGATCCGGCCCCAAGCCACCGGATCGAGAGGGGAGGAGGCCGACGTTGGACCTCTAGGAGCCGGGCACCGACGGGTCGACGGAGGTCGCCTCTCCGCTCGGTCAGATTGGGTCATCGACACGAGCCTCCACTTTGTTGCCATTGCCGCGCCATGCCGCCCACTCGCTGCCACCGTACGACCCCTCCGCGGCCCAGGTTCTTGGCCTTCAAGAAGTAGCCAGGTTCATCCAGCCACACCTCCATGGTGCCACTGGCGCCCCTGCTTGGCTACTGCCAGCCAAACCACCACGACGTCGCTGGCACTCATCCAAGCAAGCTGCTGTCGGGCACGCCACCACTGTATAGCCGACGCGCCTCTGCAGCCCGGCCGGACTGGGAAAACACCATGACAACGCCTCCAAGGAGGAAAACGGCGCCCGAAGGCGTCGCCGTCGGCTTGTCGGCAGATCCGACATGGCTTTCACCGGTGTTGCCCACGTCCAGCACAAACGAAACAGGGAGCCTTGAAGTCACGCCGCCCCTGCCCTCCACCGCCGCCCCACGCCGCATCGACCGCATCGCTGCCAGCACCGGCGAGCTCCTGCCGGATCCGTATGGGCGGCAGCAGCTGCAGCCACGGGATGGCCGGATCTGGAGGAAGGGGAGCCGGAGCCATCTCTAGACGGCCGGGTAGCGTGCGCCCACCAGATCCGCCCTAGCCAGGCGGCCACCTCGCAGACCCGCCGCTCACCTCGATCTCCTCGCGACCAACTGTTGCAGCACGACTCCCGCCGGAGCTCTGCACAGATCCGCCCTCGGGAGTGCCGGATCCGGCCGCCGAATCCTTGCCGGGGCTGCCGCCGTCGACGAGCCTAGTGACGCTTGAGCAGCCACAGTAGACCACAGATTGGGAAGAAGCCCCGCCGCTGCCTTCCTTGCGCCCGCCCGAGCTTCCAGCGGCGCGCTCTGGCAGCGGCGAGGAAGACGAGGCTGGGGGGAGGTGTTGGCGGCGCCGGGTAGTGGTTCCGCCCGTGTCGCCCCGAGAGGGACGACGCGGGGGACGAGCGAAATGGTTTGTGGAACTACTCATTTGGGCTAATCCTACTTTGTCAACCTCTTGTCAGCTAGGCTAACACATAGTAATTTCAAGGTTGTGCATGTACAAAAAAGGGAACCAAAATTACCAAAGCTCCTAGTGAAATAAACTTGTAAAAAGTAACCCATGCTAAAGCTTACCCTGGAATAATTCAGCTGGCAATGGCATCATCAGTCCTAGCAGCTGAAAAAAAGGGAGACAAAGGCAGATGAGGAGATAATTTGGTTCCTGGAAAAGAGAAGTCACCAACAATAAAGGTTCAGCTATTCACCTTTATAAGCAGCTTAGAATTTTTCTGAAGTTCAGGGAGCATCACCGTCGAGTAAGGGGGAACATTGGGTTGCATGGTAGCAAGGCAAACCCTAGGAAAAGAAGCAAAGCTTATTATTTTGGAGTAGTGCAACACTATGATGTCTGTGCCGAAGACACAGGGGAGGTAGTGTGTGTGCTCGCTGTCCAAAACCCAGCAGAGCAAATCATGACTGATGATAGGTCTGAACTA